CTAAGTATGTTTATTTTATTCAAATACTAGCCAATGCCCGCTTGCTTTGCGGCGCCTGATAAGAACTTTTGCGTGGGCCAATGCTACTAAGCTTTATTTATTTTATTAAGTACATATGTACATACACACTAATCTTCATTCACACAAATCGCAAAAAAAAAATCAACAAAGACAATGCATTTCGCACTCGTCGACCATCACCGACCGACCGACCATCTGTCATACGCAGGCCTACCAGCACTTTCGCCGCCCATAAATTACGACAAAGCAAGCTGTGCATTAAAATGTAGGCACTCACCGCGGTTAGGCGCGCCAAGTGTATGTCTTTTGAATTTACTGAAATTATGATTTATCTTTAATGCATAATATTTTATTTATTACTTTGCTCTCATAAATAGCTGTTATAATACAGTATGCTATTATAGTAGTATATATTAATAGTAATATTTTATATACATACATAAATAAGTATAAATATTTCATTTGACACCATATGTTATAAAATTATTATTAGTAATGCATTTACGTTTAAAATTCTGCATAATCAGCTTAATTCACAAATAAATAGTTTACTTTATCTCCGCTCTTTCTTTGTAGGCAACCAAATGATGCAAATTAATCTGGTAAGTGCACTTGTATGCAATACAGCGTAAATCTCCCTTTCTCGCTCTCTCTCTCATAACTATGTTAAGTAGATATTCTGCTAAATGCTCGTTAGTCCTTTATGCATAAATGCAATGCCTTTATGTTTATTTTTATGTGCAGTAGAGGCAAAATTACAATATAATTATCACTTTAATCATTCCATTGAATCAATGGCAAATCTAGGATGAAACTTATTAATATTCATTTAGCATTTTTCTTCAAAGTCTTAGCTCTCAATTGCACTTTTAATTAGACTGAGAGTGCCTAAAAGTATGCAACTGTATAAGGTTGATCCTAATGCGATTCTTCAGATTATTACTTACTTCCATATGCACTTCTCAAACGGCTTTCAAATTACCTTATTTTAATATTTAATGCTGAGTAAATGGTCATTGATACATACCTCGATTAATCGCTGTAGGATAAATTCGTCGCATTCGGGCTGTTCACCCTTTCTGACCCTTTCTTTCTATACCTCCTCCTCTCGCTCAAAAAAAGTTAAACAGAATTGAACATTTTAGATTAAAATGTAAACGAAATTTAAAAAATTTGGTTTAAGTAGATCATAAAGAAAGCAAACGCTTAGTATATTCTTGATACAGCATTTTTCTGTGGGATTCGTAACAGAAGAATTGGAAGAAGCAGGTCGAATTGTTCTCAAGCCGCTTTGGGTATATTTTTTATGGCCACAGTAGCTTCACCACAGACACGGATGCCACGCTGCAAACAGAGACTGGTTTGTCTTGCAAAGCTAGCAGAAGGGGGACATAACGGCATGTCAGACAGGGACCAACAATTATTTGAGAGCAATCACAATGGAACCTGAAATTCCTTAAAATATTTCTATTTACAGTTAATTAGGCTTTTGCAATAACGTTAAAACGGCCAAAAGTAGCTCAGCCGGATTTTGGATAAACATTTGTAAAATAGGGTTGCCATGACATAAAAAAAATGTTTACTGAAGATGAAATTACCACTTTGTTCCTTTTTAAAATTGCTTAATCCAAGGAAGTATTTCTAACAAGATTGCCATCTATGTACGCAGTTGAAAAGAGCTTTGAAATTTTAAAAATATGATTTTTTTCAAAACAATAAAAAAAAAATCTGACGAGTTAAAGCCGGTTAAATTTTTTGGTACATAAGGAAATTTTGCGATAATTATTTTTGATAAAATTATATGTTAAATACTAATATACTGTCGACCACATGCTTGAAATTCATCCATCTACCTTTATTAGCTTACAAAAATTAAATTATTTAAAAAAGCATTTTCAATACCTATTCGTCGTTGCTAACCTAAAAATTTTATTTTTTTAATTCCGCAGAATTTTCTCTTCCATTTGGTACCTATATTTTTATTCTATATTGCACTGAATCTTTTAAATAATTTTTGGTATTAATCAGATCTTTGAAACTGCAAAGTCCTTTTAAAAAAACATCCTGACGTCAGAGCGCAAAACTAAAAACGCACTTTTACTATGTTTAGCCCACAGCTTCGTGAGTATATTGTATACTTCGTGTGTTTCGAAATTTTTTTGTTTTTGTCGTCTAGTAATTTTTTTATTGGCTTGCCACCTGTCAATATTAAAATTAATAAAATTAGTTTTGCATGAAAAAGTCTAAATTTTTGTTATTAAATAAAAATGCTTCTAAAGCTTTAAATTAAGAAATGGTTGTTGAGTTACCCTCCATAAAAAAAACAAATAGTTTACATATTAATAATAACTTAAAGTGCCAGCTACTTTCGAAACTCTAATTTAGCACGTCGTTTCACTTCTAAGGTATAAAATTATTTGGAACCAAAACTTGACTACAATTTGTATATCTTTAAAGTCTTTGGAGGACTTTGGCAGGACTCGGAAGCAACCCGATACATTCCCGTTTGTCGATAAATTTCGATAATTTTATACATATCGACGATTCGATGAATTTCAAAAATACTAAAATCCGATAGCTCACAAAAATTCGATAACTCGACTAATTTGAATAACTTTCGATAACAGTGCATTTCGAGGGCTTGTTAAATTTCGATAACTCAAAAATTTATAAATTTCGATAAAAATCGATAACGTTATATACTTCGGATACCTCTATTAATTTCAAAAACTCGGTTAATTTTGATAGCTCCATATTTTTCGAAAGCTATTGACAAGTTTCGATAACTCGTTACACTCTGGTAACACGATAAAATTCGATAAGAAGTGATAACTCTTTACACTTATACAACCTTGAAATTTAAATGCCAGAAACTTCGGGTCGACAAATTTCAGTAAATCAATAAATATCGATAATTCGAAAAGTTGAAAAAACTCGATGCATTACGACTAGTCGATAAATTTGGTAACTCTATAAATAGTGATAACTCAATAAATATCGATAGCTTGACAACGATATAAAACAACATGGAATATGTTCTCATTCTGGTAACGTAAGAAAAATATTAATTAAAATATTTTAATTTAAAATTGTTTCGACAACAGAGTTGCCACCTTTTACAAAAATTAGAAATATTTCAGAGTCAACATTTGATGTTTAAAATAGCGTATAAAACTAAACTCTTTAGCCATAAATGGTTTCGCACAGGTTGCCATTTATTCAAAAAAAAAAAATTTGTTTAACAACTTAAGAATCCACAAGTATTATTAACTATCGAAAAAACAAGTAAGTAAAAAAAAAATTAATTGTAAAATATTCGTAGCGTGGAGTTGCCACCTTTTTTAAAAAATTAAATTCGTTTAACAATTTAAGAACGTGCATACATATACTAACGAATTTGCTTGTCATAGTTCTGAGCAGGATTGCCATCTATGTATGTATAATATTTAAGAAATGTTTTTGATAACGAGTTCAATTTTGCACCTAGCAGCTCTCCCAAATAGCTGCAGAGATTTTTCAAACAAAAATTTATTATTTAAAAATGAAAACATTGCAATTTTGTAAGCTACATATGTACGCGCAATAAATGGCAAAGCCAAATTCGTAGGAATTCCTTTCCAAGCACAAGCGACTTTACAAAAATTCTGCGAAAATTTTGAAATATTTAGTCTTTGCCACATTATTTTCGTTGAAGCAAATCATTAATGCCCAAGAACTTATTTAATTTTCTTTTCTAAAAAAAATGTTCCTTGAAATTAATGCTGCCTTGAAATTGTTTGTCCACTCTAACAAAAAAGGCCAACAAATTACCATGAAATTTAGAACCAACTACTCTTTTGGTCAACTACTTAAAATATTTTTTCAAATGCTTAACCAGTGTCGCCGTACATTTTCAGACTCAAAAAGGTTAAGTGCAATTTTCGCCTCGGCTACTGTGGCCACAAAGCAAGCTGCGAGCAACGAAACTAAACAACAACAATAAGAATAAAAAAAAACAAGAATTTCGCTAAACGCGGCAAAGTGCTAGTAGTTTAAGGACATGCGACCAATTTGCACGAAAACGCACGCACGCACGCACATTTTTACGGTCGCCAAAGTGAATTGCAATATTCATGACCATAAAATAATTGCAAGTCGCCGCTTTAGCAATGAAATTGAAAATGAACTTACATTGAAATTAAACGCTACAACAACAGCAGCAATGAAATTAAAGCAAATACGCAAGCGGACAATTGCTAAGCAAGCTGCTTGGCAAGGAAAAACTCCACAACTCGGCGACAAGTTTTTGCAATTTTTCAAATATTTATTTTATTTTTTTTTTGCTTAGCATTTGACGCGTTTGCGCGCTGCCGCCGGTGACGTGTTGGTCTGCCATTCAAGCAGATTTCAAAGTCAACATTGGCAGAGCACAAAAACAATTCAGAGAAATAGCAAACTGAGAACAACAACAAAAAATCCGCCGTTGTAACCATGAAATGCAACACTCTGCTAATGGCAACCACTGCCGCTGTCGCCGTCAACGTCATCGCCACCGCCATCGCCACCGCCTAGCCGCCATACTTGGCAACAGCAAGTGCAACCACATTTTCTTACAATGTCATTTAGGCGATGCTGCTATGCTGCGGTTTTCCAAATCAAAACAACTCAGCCAACGGTGGCGGGCGAGTCAACCACACAGCTGGCCGTCAGCAGCCGGTTGCAGCTGTTGCAATGACAATTGGATGGTTTGCTGGTTGGCGGAATGAAAAAGCAAACAAAAAAACCGTAAGCGTACAAATTGATTGTTGTGCCGCAAAGTACCGTCAGTCATCGCTCGCATCAACCGCTTGTCGCTGTCGCACACGCACGCCCTCTTCTTCTACTGCCACTTCTTATATCGCCATCTTCAACTGCTTTGTTGTATTTTCCTTTGATTGTGCAGATGAGCGCTTGGCGCTTCTTTTATCGCAGCCATTCATTTGACTTCAGAATTGGAAAATCGTATTTCTTACAGTAGCCGCTTTTTTGCGGTTTGACGCACGCGCGCACGCTTGCACGCTCGGTTGGCCCAGCCAACGCCTTCTGCAATTAAACAATGCAATATTTTTCCATGCTATTTTCACAACTTTGCCATGGATGGGTATTTTTTCTTTAGTATTTTTTTTTTTTTGGTTTTATTTAATTCTTACTCTTCGTTTTGCTAAAATGTCAACGGCAACAGCAAGCGCACCACGAAGGTGTGTTCAGAACCTTCACGCTGGCATTGGTAATGCACGAAGTCGAGGTTGGCTGGGCACTTCTTGTGGTCTTTGTCAAGTACGCGCTGTACGCGATGGAGTGTTCGAGGTATGTGTACAGGGCGTATGAGTAACATTTTGAGTGGTTCGGAAGAAGAGCTCATGGGAAAAAAATTGTAATTGAAAACTTTCGACTTAGTTTATTTTTGCTTCTTACTTCCTAGCTTCCACGGAAGCAAAATTATTAATATCCGAAATTTTTCCGAAGAAACTCTAAAAACTCCGGAAAATTTTCTAAAAGACCAGAAAACCCCGGCAATCCTAAAACAATTCTGCATCCTTCTAAATTATTGCGAAGTATCTCGAGCTAGTTACCGAAAAGCGGG